TCACAGGGAAGAGTGTACGCTGTCACCGCTTCTGAGCAAATGTCAGGGCCATCAATTGTGAGAGGTACATTCCTCATTTTCAATACTTGGGCTAATGTGTTGATTGACACTGGAGCATCGCATTCATTTATTGCCACATCTTTTTAATCATTGTTTGTGTTAGAGAGTAAGCAACTGCAATCTTCACTTATAATGGAGTCCCCAGTTGGGGGTAAGGTCATTCTGACCCAGGGATGTCAGGGGTGTGTAATTGAGGTGGCAGGTCGACAACTTCCGTTTAATTTTGTCCTGTTGGAAATGTCATGTTTTGACGTAATTCTCGATATGGATTGGTTGTTTACTTACCGGCGACCATAGATTGTTATCGAGAGAGAATTACGGTGTGCACTGCAAGCGGTGATCGTTTTACATTTCTGGGAGACAAGTATGGTAGATCCTTACCCTCCTCAAACTATCTACGTGGCTGGGACCAGTTTAATTCCCTTTTAACCGTGTTTTTGGATGATGGAAATGGTGTAGTCCGGGGCAAATTTCCAAAGGTAGTATGTGAATACCTTAATGTCTTTCCTGATGATCTTATAGAATTACCACCTCATAGCGAAGTAGAGTTCAGTATAGAATTGCTTCTGGGTACGACACCTATCTCCTTGTCGCCATATAGATTTGCCTCAGCTGAATTGGTGGTTCTAAAGGAACAATTGCAAGAGTTACTTAGCAAGGGCTTTATATGCCCTAGTACCTCACCTTGGGGAGCCTTGGCGTTGTTTGCAAAGAAGAAGGACGGATCCTTAAGATTGTGCATAGACTATCGTAAATTGAATCAAGCCACAGTCAAGAATAAATGCCCCTTGCCTACGATAGATGATCTCTTCGATCAACTTAAAGGCTCTCGTTGTTTCTCCAAGATATATTTAAGGTCGTGTTATCACCAAATTCGAGTTGGAGAGGAGGACATCCCCAAAATTGCTTTTCGTACCCGATATGGTCATTATGAGTTCTTAGTTATGCCCTTTGGGTTGACTAACGCTCCAGCCACATTTATGGATTTAATGAATAAGGTCATTTGGGAGTTTCTTGATAAATTTGTGGTTGTCTTTGTAGATGATATACTTATCTATTCACCTTTCAAAGAGGAGCATGAAGGGCATCTTCGTACTATCCTGCAACTTCTTAGGGAGCACCGTTTGTATGCAAAATTTAAGAAATATGAATTCTGGCTTTCCGAAGTGAAGTTCTTGGGTCACGTAGTTTCGGGAGACAGAGTTATGGTGGATTCTTCAAAAATAGAAGCTATACAGAATTGGGAGCAACCTAAGAATGCCTCAGAAGTTTGTAGCTTTCTGGGCTTAGCTGGTTACTACCGCCGATTTGTAAAGAATTTCTCTTCCATAACATCACCATTAACTAGATTGACCCGTAAGGGAGTAAGGCTTGTTTAGAGCGAAGCATGTGAGAATTCCTTCCGAGAATTAAAGTTTAGATTGACCACCGCTCCGATCCTTATCATTCCGGAACGAGGGTTAGGTTATACAGTGTACTGTGATGCCTCAAGAGAGGGATTGGGATGTGTTCTAATGCAGGAGGGAAGGGTGGTAGCATATGGCTAGTGTAAAGACCCTTGACTAGCTTTGAGTTTCAAAGTCCCTAGCATGCTTTGCTTGAGTTGTTTTCATGCCTTAGCCTCATTTCTCACATGATTTCGGTGTATATAGCATAGTCACATTCTCACATATTCCACTCTTTCATAGCTTTTGTGAGTTGAGCCTTATGCCTTGTTTGTGTGCCAATACTTGAGCATGATTTTATTGCCTCATGGACTTCCATCTCAGCATGTTTTGGCCTTTATTTTGACATATTTGAGGTCTATCCAGAGTTGGTTTGTTCTTTTGAGTTTGATTTTGCATGCTTCTAGAGTGATGCTCTTTACTAGCTTAATGTGTTTGGCTTTTGAGCATGCATTACATGAGTTGTTTGCATTGTTTTTAAGTCACTTAGCATGCCATTTCAGTGCTAAAATGTGTGTCATTGCACTTCATTGTTTCAAACTTTCATTCATCTTGAAAGTGGACTTAAGCCCCTTGTTGGCTTGAGCATGAACTTGAGGCATTCATGCCCATTGGTTTTAATCCTCCCTTGAGGATTTCTACTAACCAATAGCATGATACTTTCTTCATACTCAAGGCACTTGAAGCTTAGGTCATCTTTCAAATTATAGGACCTTTCACATTGAACTTAATCAATTGAGGAATGGTTTGGTAATGTAAATGAGTGAACAAGAATGAGAAAAGTAAAACATGACAAGATAACATATGTGTGTTGCATTGCACGTGTTTGGATCAGACGTTAATCCAAATGCAAGAAATGTGAGACGTTTCATACTCAAAGTGATGAAACATGTCGTATTCCTTAGTCGTTGTCACCCTTGAGCATGCATGATAGGTTGATGACACTTTGAGTCTTATGTGCACATTCACTAAGCTTGTACAAGCTTGGTTTTTGGGCCATCATGCATTGAGATGCTTGATTGGTTGCTCGAGAGCCAAGTACCACACTCCTTTGAGCTTAAGACATGATAAGAAGGGTGGTAGTACACACATTTCTAGCCAAATACATTGCCTTGGCTCTGTTGCTCTCTGTTGCAGCAAAGGCAAGATTCTGGAAAGAAAAGTGGCCGGCCGGCAACCTAGAAGTTCATAAAATGTTCTGAGATCACAGTGAGTGCAAACAGAGGCAACTCATGGCAAGGCAATGTGTTTTCGGGCGAAGCACACCGAACATGCATGTCTCCCTCCCCCGAGGCCATTTTACTACTTTACTTAGCTAGTTAATTTACTGGTTTTATAATTAATTAGTTAATGTGTTTAGCTAATTCAATTCGTCTTTGTAATATTCTAATTAGCTTAGATTAGCTAGTTATTCAATCTCATTTGGTTTGTAATAATTAATTAGTTGTTTTGTAATAAGTAGTTTAGCTTAGCGTAGCTAGTTAGCTTATTTATTCGGACCATCCTTCGTGAGGGCGCAATGTTGTAATAAGCGTGCGTGTGTGTGTGCATGTCTTCCAACCCCACTTCTTTCTCTCTTTTACTTATCAGCTTTTGATGGTTAGTTTTAGGGCATGTTTTGATTAGCATCCTTATGTTTGCATGCGTGCATCATTCATTTGTCTTGCATGCACCGATCTCGGCACATCATTCAAACTGCATTATATTTCAATACCTATTTGAATACATGTATCAAATTGTTGCATTTCATATGCCATCTTAGATAGCCGAGCCTATTTAGTTGCATTATTGCATGTGTTGCATTAGGCATCTTGTATAGTCAGGATCATGCATATTTCTAACTAGCTTTTGTTTTGGCTCGGAGTACACTGTAAGTGTTTACGCTTTAACATACTTGCATGAGTGCTAGTTAATTATTTGTAATATTTAATTAGCTTGCGTAGTTAATTAATTTGTAATATTTATTTGGTCCCTCCGAGTGAGGGCAAATCTGTAATAAGTGTGTGTGAGTGGTGTGTATGTCTTCTAGTCCCCACTTTTTTCTTCCCTTTTATTTACCTGCTTATGATGGTAGATTAGGGCATCTTTAAAATTAGCATACCTTATGCTATGCATGCGTGCATTCATGCATTTGCGTTACATGCATTAGGCTCGGTACATCACGCTAACTGCATTTGTATTTCAAATCCAAATTGAATACGTGCATCAATGGAATGGCTGCATTTCACATACCATGTTTAGGATTAGCCGAGCCTATCTAATTGCATCTTGTATGTGTTGCATTAGACAATTTAACATGAGCTAGGATCATGCATGTTTGCTAACTAGTTTATTGTTTTGGCACGGAGTACGATGTAAGTATTTACGCTTTAGCATCCCGCATGCGTGTGAATGTTGCCATGATAGTATGCTTGCCATGCGGCTAAATGCTTATATGATAAACTGTTTGAAATGGCTGTGGGTGGAGGTTGGATTGTTTGAGTTGGAAAAACTCATTGAAATCCGTATTTTAGCCTACTTGCGAGTAGCAAATTCCAAAGCGCTTTTCAAAACCGAACGGATATGCAATGCTTATTTCCAAATTAGGCAATCTAGTCTATACTTGTTTGCTGTGCGCATAACATAGTAATTCTAGGCTAATAAATGGAATAAGAACACATAACGTCTTCAAAATCGGATATCATGGTTAGTAGAGGCCGGTCTTCGGACCGGGCGAAAGGGGGTGCTCATAGCTGACCTTCCCCGATCGTACCCAAGCTCCCGAGCCGAGACAACTCCGGTGATGACGGACATGTGGCCTTTGGCACCGAGTTAGGGTTTCCTAAATTCCCCATAAAAAATATTTAGGTGGCGACTCTGTATCTGGTAAAGCAGTCCATGTTTGGCACTTCTTTTCAAAAATCTGTTTCTCAAAACGATTTGCCGGATTTGGACTCTTTGGTTCAGATTAAGAACCGTGACAATTTGAGAGTCCGAGCTGTAGTGACCCCACAAATGAACAGAACGGGACTCACCCTCCCGGGGCATTCGGGGACGTCTACACCACCTCATAGGGAAGTAGAGTTCAGCATAGAATAGCTTCTGGGTACGACACTTATCTCCTTGTCGCCATATAGATTTGCCTCAGCTGAATTGGTGGTTCTGAAGGAACAATTGCAAGAGTTACTTAGCAAGGGCTTTATATGCCCTAGTACCTCACCTTGGGGAGCCTTGGCGTTGTTTGCAAAGAAGAAGGATGGATCCTTAAGATTATGCATAGACTATCGTAAATTGAATCAAGCCACAGTCAAGAATAAATACCCCTGGCCTAGGATAGATGATCTCTTTGATCAACTCAAAGGCTCTCATTGTTTCTCCAAGATATATTTAAGGTCGTGTTATCACCAAATTCGAGTTGGAGAGGAGGACATCCCCAAAATTGCTTTTCGTACCTGATATGGTCATTATGAGTTCTTAGTTATGCCCTTTGGGCTGACTAACACTCCAACCACATTTATGGATTTAATGAATAAGGTCATTCGGGAGTTTCTTGATAAATTTGTGGTTGTCTTTGTAGATGATATACTTATCTATTCACCTTTCAAAGAGGAGCATGAAAGGCATCTTCGTACTATCCTGCAACTTCTTAGGGAGCACCGTTTGTATGCAAAATTTGAGAAATATGAATTCTGGCTTTCCGAAGTGAAGTTCTTGGGTCACGTAGTTTCGGGAGACAGAGTTATGGTGGATTCTTCAAAAATAGAACCTGTGCAGAATTGGGAGCAGCCTAAGAACGCCCCAGAAGTTCGCAGCTTTCTGGGTTTAGCCAGTTACTACCGCCGATTTGTAAAGAATTTATCTTCCATAGCATCACCATTAACTAGATTGACACGTAAGGGAGTAAGATTTGTTTGGAGCGAAACTTGCAAGAATGCTTTCCGAGAACTAAAGCTTAGATTGACCACTGCTCCAATTCTCATCATTCTGGAACGAGGTTTAAGTTATACGGTATATTGTGATGCTTCTAGAGAGGGGTTGGGATGTGTTCTAATGTAGAAGGGTAAAGTGGTAGCATATGGCTTGCGTCAACTGAAGACGCATGAAAGGAACTACCTGACACACGAACTAGCCGCTGTTGTTTTTGCCTTGAAGTTGTGGAGACACTATCTATATGGTGAAAAGTTTGAAGTCTTCTTCGACCATAAAAGCCTCACATATGTATTCTCCTAGAAGGAATTGAATCTACGCCAACGAAGATGGATGGAGTTTCTAGAGGACTATGATTTTGAAATACACTACCACCCCGGTAAAGCCAATGTAGTAGTGGATGCTTTGAGCAGAAATCTATAAGTACGATGGCTAGTCTAGCGATGAGGGAATGGAAGATGATGGAGGATGCCAATGAATTTGCTTTACAGCTCGGTGAATCTTCAGAAAATGCTACCTTTTTCACCACCATCGCCCAACCTAACCTTGTTGCAAGAGTAGTTAAAGCACAACTGGGTGATCCAGTAGTGGATGCAATTAAAGGGAGAATTCTTTAAGGGAAGGAAAAGAGAGGTTTAAATATTCATGCAGATTCTAGTGTTTGTTACCTCGACCAATTGTTTGTACCTGAATCTATGAGAAATGAAGTTTTGAGGGACTTCCATCATTCCCGCCTAGTTGTGCATCCTGGAGGGACTAAAATGTACCATAACCTAAGCCATCAATTTTGGTGGAGGGGTATGAAAAATGATGTAGCTTCATTTGTGTCTAAGTGTTTGACATGTCAACAAGTTAAGGCTGAACACCAAAGACCGGCAGGATTACTACAACCTCTTCCGGTTGCTGAATAGAAGTGGGAACACGTCAACATGGACTTTGTTTCTAGCCTTCCTAGAACTCAAAGAAACAATGATGCAATATGGATGATTGTGGATAGACTTACTAAGTCTGCTCACTTCCTTGCCATGAGCATGAGAGATTCCATAGAGTTTCTAGCTAAACTTTACATCCGTGAGATTGTTTGCCTCCATGGGGTACCAGTGAGTATAGTGTCTGATAGAGACCCTCGCTTTATAGCCAGGCTATGGCAGAGCCTTCAAAGTGCCTTGGGTATTCAACTGAATTTTAGTACTGCTTACCACCCCCAGACCAACGGGTAATCTGAGCGTACTATTCTGATTTTGGAAGATATGTTGAGGGCATGTGTACTAGATTTTAAAGGGTCTTGGGAGAAACACCTACCCTTAGTTGAATTTGCTTATAACAGTAGTTACCAAGCAAGCATCGAGATGGCACCTTTCAAGGCATTGTATGGGCGTCCGTGTAGATCACCGGTATATTGGATTGAAGTGGGAGATTCACCCTTGCTAGGCTCAGATCTAGTTCGGGAAACTACCGAGAAAATAGCCCTCATTCGGAAAAGGTTAGTTACTGCTCAAAGCTGGCAAAAGAGCTACGCTGATAGAAGAAGATGACCCTTATCCTTTGAAGTTGGTGACAATGTCTTTGTGAAGATATCTCCTAGAAGAGGGTTAATGAGATTTGGCCAGAGTGGAAAGCTATCACCTAGATTCATCGGCCCCTTTGATATCATTAAGCGGATTGGAGAAGTTGTATATCACCTTGCATTGTCGCCACAACTCTCCGGCGTCCACAATATGTTTCACGTATCTATGCTTTGCAAGTATGAACCCAATCCCTCTCATGTGTTAGATTGGACGGAGATTAAGATAGACAAAAATGTGTCTTATGAAGAAAAACCACTCCAAATCTTACTTACTAGAGAGAAAGTTTTGAGGGGTAAAACAATTCCCTTAGTTAAAGTGTTATGGCGCCATCATGGTGTGGAGGAAGCTACATGGGAACGTGAAGTGGAGATTCGCGAGAAATACACCGACTTATTTTCTAAATTGTGATGTATTTGTTTTGTTGTTCCTTTTTTTGTACTTGATGAATTGAGCATGAGCCAAAACCTTCTATTATTTCCTTGTCTTGGAGTCAAATTGATATATATATATATATTGCTTGGTTATGAGTTTGTTGAGGATTGAATAAATATGATGTTGTTGCCAAACGTTGTTACCATGGTGAGGACGAACATTATTTCGAGGGTGAAATTTCCTAAGGTGGGGAAGTTGTAACACTTGGGTGTTTCAATCTATTGGAAGGTGTGTTTAATATCTTTATTTTCATTTTGGGAGTCTTCGGAGTTGTTGTATATTGGTTTTGAAGGAGTACAATCCAATTTAAACTCGTTGGGTTTGTTCGTTCACATTTATTCTTGTCAAAAAGTTCCTTGGAAACTTAGAAATTCTACTTTGGGCATTAGCCTTCCCAAGGGTCGACCCTTGCATGTTGTTATGTTTTTGGAGGTGTTACTGGAATTTAGGGTCGACACCAGCCTTGGTGGTGTCGACACCTTTCTTTTGTTGTTGGTTTCAAGGGTCAACAATAGTCTGGGAAGGGCTGACCCTTGTATATTGCAGAATCTATGTGTTAGTTGCAGGAAATTAGTGTCGACCCTTCCTGTCTAAGGGTCAACCCCTTGCTTGCTGCCAGATTGTCTTTTCTACCTAAAAGGTCGACCCCTCTACCCGAAGGGTCTACCTATGCGTGTTTTTTTTCAGAATTTTGAGGTTCGAATGGGCCCTACTTTTGGGGGTTTTGGACTTATCCTTTTACATTGACCTTAGGGCTATTCTCTACTACTATAAATAGACCCAAATCACACCTCTCTCATAATTTTCTTCTCTTTTTCCTCTCAAAACCAAGAGTCTCTCTCTCTTTCTCTCAAAAACTCACTTTTCCACTTCAATCCTTAGATCTACTCTCTTAGAGGTGTTTTCTCACCTTGATCCTTTGAGATAAATTGTAGATCTTGTCAAGGGCTTTCTATTGGTCTGAGAAGTTTGTGGCTTTGTCAACCTTGAGTTTTTCGGGTTTTCTTCCTCACGACTTGAGGTAGGGATACTTTTACCTTAGTATTTCTTTGTTTTGGAGGGATTTCATGGTATGGTTATGATTTATGAGTTAATTGGAGGATATTGTTGGGTTAATCTTATGTTTTACATAAATAAACCATATTACTTGACTCTTGCTTGAGATTCCTTTACTTTCTCTTTTCAAAACATGTGTATAAATGTTGTTACAAACCATATCTATAATAGAGGAGAAAAACACCCAAATTTGGTAAAACCTTAGATTCTCCATTTGAGTTGAAAACACCACATTGAAAAGGGAATTTCCTTGATTCATGAAATATTGTGAATAACAAATAGATGAAGGATGTGGATGTTGATATAGTAAAAGAATTGTGGCTTGGGTGTTATTTGTTTTCCTTAAATCTTGTGTTGTATTCAATTCTTCGGTAATGTTGGATGGTTGTTGATGGAATAAAATGTGAATGAATTGTTAATTGTGCATGAGTCCGAGTAAGAGTCGATTTTCCAAATGTCGTGTTATGTTGGTACCCGCACGGGGAGTTTAAAAAGGTGCCCAAATGCCCTATGTAGGCTTATCACTGGACAAATGTGGGAAAAATATTTTTGGGTGCCCACACAGTCCTACCGTATGATAGCTGGCAAAAGTGGAAAAACGGATGGTTTTCTTTGGGGTGTCCACTCCCTACCGTATGATAGCCGGCAAATGTGGGGGTGGTTTTAAAACAAAAGTAAAGGGTGTTTTAAATTGGACTCTTACAGGCGGACTCATGGCTTGTGTTATATGGTTGCGCATGTTTGATTGTTGTGCTTCATGACATGAATAGTCATTGTTATTGTTTGGTTGTTATGGATCTATATGTTTATTAAGGATTACATGTAAAGATAAATTTCCTTGTAATGTTTTGTTGTAAAGATACATAATCTTATTCAAAGGGTTAAATACTTGGTTAAATGTGTTCCTACTGGGCATATAGCTCAACCCTATCTTATTTTTCAAGAATTGATGAAGTACTACCTCCCTAAAGGATTGGTCAAGCAATAGCTCTTTTTGGAAAAGTTGATCCATGTGTATTTTGTTATTTTGAATGGGAATTTTTGTAATAAAACTATTAATCTATTTTGTTGTAATTGTATGCCCTAGAGGCTTATATTTTGTAAGGCCACCTAGTTCATTGTACTGGAATACGAATTCTGAACATTATGGGAATGTATATGGTGAATTGTAATCTCTTATCTCTTAGTTCAATGAGAAGGTTGACTTTTTGGGTATATTATTGTATTTGTTTTGGTATATTTTTGTGGGAAAATTTCAGGGCGTTACTGATACAAGGTTTCATGGACATGTAACATGGAAATTGTAAATTTAAATCTTAGTTCAGTGAATAGGATGGCTTTTGGAGTAAATTGTTATATTGGTAGCAATGGATTCATGTATGAAATAGCAGTGCGTTACAAATTGGTATCTGAGCATTAGGTTCGAATACCTTAGGCTCGTGGGAAGTGACTTTTGTCATAATGGGATTCCTAGGCTAGGATGGGATGTTTACGTGCCTTGTGTGCCTTGTGTATGTATGTGGGTATGTGTGTATGGGGTTAACTTCTGAGATATAGCTTCTATCTGTTGCATTCATCGAGATCCTTTTGGAAAGGTATCTAATCAATGCTTTTTCCATTTGAGGTCCTTGATTGCCATAGAACTGGTTAGTATCTTAGGAGGGTAACCTATATGTGCTTTATGTGATTGCATGATAATGTGGATGATCTTATGTAAAAGTAGATATTTGTGTAAATGCTTGTTTGGATGGTGAGTAGAGCATGAAAATCTTGAGTACGGCATCTTGGTGTGTATCACATGGGTTAGGTGTTAGCATTGGTTGTGAGTTGGCATAGGTTGCCCTGGTGGTGGTTGGCATGTCTTGAGAGGTAATAATACTTTATGATCCTTTATGGCAGTGTGAGTGGTTATGGCACGGTAGGGATTATGATGGGTGAACAGAGACTGATTGATTGAGAATTTGGCTAATTTGGAATCTAGAAGAGAATTTTTTTTAGAAAGTGAGTTAAATGTAGAGGTTTGAGGTAAGTTAGACTATGGATAATAAGTGAAAGAGGTTGTAATAATGGTGTTGAATCTCTGGTAGTGGAGATGGTGACTTGAGGGTTGAGATATTGAGTGCTAGAATTGGTTACTCTCTAGAAATTATGGTGTAGTGCATAAGTAATTGGTCTTGATGCTTGATTATTGGAGTGCTTTAGTAGAAAAGAGTATTGTCAATTAAGTGGTGTAGTTATTTTATCCAAGGTCTTGATGGCATAATAAATGTTCTTAGAAGAAGCTCTTGAAGTTAACGTGGGAGGTTATTATGGTTCAATGGAGCGTGTGACAAAAGTGTGTTGGATTGATTAGTGAAGTTAGATCGGTTTGTCCTCAAAAAAATATGTGCTTGATAGTTTGGGAATCTTTGATATTAATTTTTGTGGCTACTTTTGACTATGAGTTAGAAGTTTGTAATGGTTGAGGGTATATGTGAGTATCTTGGTTGGGCTTAGAAAGTGTTTATAATGACATAGTTTCAAATATTGAGATGAAGATACAATTTGGTTATTGTAGCGTGTTTATGAGGTTGATTCATGTCAAGTAAGTCACCAATTGGGGTGTAAATGTGGAGATTTTCTCGAGTAAGAGTTATCTTAATTTTTCTTTTTAGTTTTCCGTTATACTGTAGGCATGGAGGAGATTTCTGGTTGCTAGTGGGTCGATGTAGCATTACCATTGTGTTGGTTTATGTTTGTCCTATCTTGAATGTTTGGAGTTAGCTCAGATTCAAGGGTACTTGGTTTCCCTTGGTAAAAGAGGATGATTCCTTACCTTTAGTTTTAATTGGAAGTATTTGTTGGTGATGGTATTTTGTATATTTCTTGGTTAGACTATTTCCTTGGAGGAAGGAGCTAGTGTGGAGGATATTTTTGTTGTTGTTTTTAGTCTTGGAACTTATTCTTGGGTGACTTGGATGTGCCTTACTCTTGTGGGAATGTTAGCGGTGTTTTCAGAATGAATGGCTGGAATATGTCTCGTGAGCATTACTTTTGGAAATCTTATAAAGGAATGGTTTGACTATTGGTTTCAAGTAGACTTCTGAGGATGAATATGACAGTGTGATTGTTGGTTGATGTAACCTTGACGTGAATTATGCTAGCCTTGTAGTTGTTTCAGGGGGAAATAAAATAAAATAAAATAAATGTGTGAAGTGCCTACTTGATAGGAAATAGGAATTGTTGGTTGGTCTAAGGGATTGTATAGTTGCTTAGTACTATGCGGATGGTGTTAGTGGGTTATTGTTAAGTATAGGTTGGGCATTGTGAATCACCATAGTACTAGTGTAGTGTTGTGTGCTAATTTTGGGGTAGGTTCCATGGTGTGTTGGATTTAAGGAATAGGTGTTGATGTGAGTTAGCTTGTCGACTTGGGGTGCTGAAATATGGTTTAGTTGTATACCTAGTCGTGAAAGAGCCTAGAATGAACTGAGAACATATAATTGGAAGTTTTTGGTGAACACCACATAAGAGTAAAACTAGTTGACTTGATGTTGACAGGTTGTGGAGGTTGTTGGTAGTTATTGGTGGTAAGTTTATTAACTGTCGTGTGGAAAAGAGTTAGTGGGTTAGTATTTTTCATGAAAATTTGTGTTTGGTCCATTTTTAGTGATTGGTTTCAATTCTTAGAATCACTCTTACCTAAAGGATAAAAATTGTGAACATGAGACGTTATTTGATGGACTTCTTGTCAGGAAATGAAAACGTTACGAAGTGCCTTTGTAATTTGGTTAGTTATAGAAATTATGTTAGAGTGACTATTATTGACCTGGAGATTCTTTAAAATGAATGAGTATTTGCTGGTGTACCCTTTTCATCTTGAGTTGTATAGGATTTTAATGAAAGGTTTGATATGACAGTTGGTGTTATTGTTTTGTGAC